CACCCCCCCCCCACCGCCATTAAATCCTACACATTATACTGTCATATTATAATTTACACACATCCTGCAATTTCCTATGATTTTCCTCCGAAATAAACATGGATCAGTACCACAGCTCACGTGAGTAAGAGTACACTGCCATTCTGGTCCAACATTACGGTCACAATTGACATCTCTTATTCAGAATGGTAAATGCATGCCTCAGCAGTGCACCACGAACACAGAGATGTAACAAATGGGAATGTAAATTAACACTTAGCAAGGGCAGAGGGACATTTACATCCACGAGACAATGCTACTATCATGTGACATGGAGTTTCATACTGGTATCGTCACTATAAAATGCTACAGAAACAAAAATGTTGAAATCCAAAAGCATGCTACATAAGGACTGCAACTGTTCAAGTAAAGGACCACTTTTCTGGTGTACCAGACTGTACATAACACATGCAGCAAAAATGAGATATTCACCTGCATGAACTAAGAAAATGTACATGTCCTTATACTGAGTCTGATCAAGTTCCAGGTTCAAGTGAGAACTAATGATATGTGGCATGGTCAGGTTTATCACTTTATGAGTGGTGATGAGCAGTCCAATGGAGAACTAGTGAAATGATGGTAAACAGGGGAAACTGATAAATCTACATGGACTGCTCTGGCAATGAACATAGGCTTCAAAGTTAAGATAAATGTAACCACCTCAGAAAAAAGTGATACTGAAAAGTACATCATTCTTTTTCTCTACATAGTTTTCAATGGGGCACTTACTCACCCTGACAGGCAATGCAAAACATGCAGGTAGGTGATATCAAACCTGACAAGAACCTGCAATAACTCAGTTTTAAATAGCAACCACAATTACATTCAGTGTATGAAATAAATTAAATGTTAGAAATATAAGGACACCATTTTTATGTCAAACACTAGAGATATTAAAGTCACTTGCACCTACCTGTGTTATACTTTTAAGTTTTATTATCTTTAAATAAATGTAAACATATATTTAAAAACAAGTTTACTCTATATACTGACCATATCAAATTCTCAAATGCACAACATAATTAATTAAAAGTTAAATATCTCTGTTAGCGTTTCAAAGACAGATGCATCACTTTATGCTGTGATTATTGTGTTTTAGTGCATGTCAAGTGAAACTTGATCTTAGTTAAGAATCTAATTAATACTTTAGTGAGAAAACAAACTAGAAATGGAAGACAATTAGGATTATGGTTTATTTCAAGGAACTATGCATCATATACCTGGGGTGAACACCCCAATTAGGGCTGATACAAGGCAGACATGCTTAAAGTGTACTTGAGGACTGCAATACTTACAACATGGACAAAGAAATGTTATTTCTGTACACTGTCTGTCTGTCTGTCTGTCTATGTTACCAGTCAGTCATGCTTAGGCACACCTCACTACATGACGTAGGTGAGAACATGTTCTGGAGATATTTATGCAGGAAAAATACCTTCACCCATCTCTCACTTCTCTTATTATGATCAGGAAAATCTGAATGAAAATGTACAATTTTCTTGGAGAATAATGAGGAACAGATGCTGGGAAAAGGTAAAGGAGTGAGAGGAAAATTAATGTGAAACAAAAATGCTTAAGTACTGAACAACAAAAACACATCACATGGGTCTGAAATTCAGACAGGTTTAACAAAACATTAGCTTCAAAACTGAAAATCCAAAATAGCTCAAGTCCCCACAATCCTATTTACATTCAAAATATGATTTTTCTCTTTCTGGATATTTTAACATAAGAACAGTTTTATTACTGACTTCATACTTACAGAAAAAGCTATTCCAAATTTATGACTACCAAGGCAGCATTCAGATCATGTGTAAATCTTCCTAGTTCATGATGGAAACAAATGTCACTTTTCAGAATACTGAAGAAATTTCCAGGCAGTAATCTGACATAGATTATAATAGAGCAAGCACTGGAAACATTGTTCTCATGGCCATTCACATGTTGAAATTCTATATTCACAAGTTGACTGTCAACAGTACAATGAATATTAAAGCCTCTCCTGCTATCTGGATGTAAAAGGAAGAACCTTCTGTTTCTGAATTCATGAACTTCAGAGAAAAAGTCAGAAGTCAAAGTTGGGAAGGCAGAAAAATCTGCACTGTAACCATTTGGTGGATTCAAAATACAGTGCTTTGGTCTCTTGTGATGGTTGTGTAAGTAATGTTATTGACTTAACTGTAACAATCTTTGAACATAACTGAAGGACAATTCTAACTTTATAAGAAAATCCCTAAAGAAGCAAATAATGGTATAATAGAGAAAAAATGAATAATGGGGGGCTGCAGATGCAGCGCACCAATATTACTGTACTCTATGGGACATGAAGCATTTTAACCTTGCCGAAACCTCTTACTCCAATTAATTTTGAAGACTGGCCCTACAAAGTAAACTGAAACATCACTCAACATTGCACTAATTTGAGGTTCCTTGCATCAATAAACCACAATCTTAACATATGCTTCTCAGCGTCCCATTTCATACCACAAACAGTCAGTATATGCTGTGTTATGAAGCATTTTGCCATGCAGAAACACTGATACTGCGTGTTTGTGCACGGTACCTTTCTCTCTGAATGGTTTTGTTCCTCAGCTCGCTTTGCTAGAATGTCTCTCTGAAGATCCACTTCGGCTAATAAGCCTGAGATTGCTGTCACAACTAGGAGAAAAGTAGGACAAAGGGTGACGATGTGACAAAGCATTAGTACAGTCTGGAGGGCTACAACTCCCCACATGAAACCTACCTCAAGCCTTGGATGAGACCACAACCAAACACTGCACAGTCCACAAGAATACGCCGAACACTATAGTGTAGGGGGTCAGAGGCCCCAATAAGTCATCACGATTCAGATTTTCCTCAGTACCTCTAGACCAATGCAGAGATTATACCTTAAAACGGACTAGTTTCCATCCCAATTTATCAATCACAATCAAATTCCTTTGCAGATGAGATGATCTCATTAAAGAAACAAAGAGAAAAAATGTTTGCCTTAAACAAATGCAGTTTTTAAGATAGTGATCCAAAGTCCCCCTTCAAGAGTGTATCCGAGCATACAAATTGTTATTCAGTAAAGAACTGCTGAAGTGTGCAGCAATTGGTTTTAGTCTTTTCATCCAAATTACAAATGAGATGGAACAGAATGCCATGCAAAAGTGAGCGAGGATGGGCCCCTGACCTTAGCACCAATCAACTGTGTGCCTGAGGAAGAGTGTAACTTGTGAGGGACCGAGCCCATCTGAGCTACAATCCTCTCCATGGCAGCTTCTGTCTCTTCAAGACGCTTGCGCAGATGGTCAATCTCTATATCTCCTGCAAAACAAACCAGTCAACCATGCTCCCAACCCAAAGCATTAGTGATCTGTAGATTTGATCTCCTCTTCAACCATAAATCAAAAGTTATGCGGGAACTACTGTTTAAAATTACACTCAGCGCCTTTGAAAATTCGTAATGAATCCTAATAAATCATGAAGCTCTTGGGTTCACTTAATATATTTACCTTCACAAAAATTCCATTCACAATACTGACAAAAACATTGTTGCAATTTTAGCTTTCAGCATGACTTTGGTTGAAGGGGGAGGGGCACAAAATAAAGAGAAGGCTACAGGTAGAAAGTACACATGTAAATTTCCTCAGTATATCAGTTTTGTTGCAGATGTGTATATTCTAACTGGTTCCGTATTTATTTATTCATGTGCAGGTGTAGGCACTGCAGAAAGATTTTCTGCAATGCCAACAACTGAAAGTTGTAAGCTATTACTTGTATTTTTTGCCTCTGCTCTATTGTATGCAGAGATATATTTGGACTGAGAATAAACTATAATGTTCATACAACTGATGCATACTGTGTTATATAAGAAATTCTGATGTCATGGAAACCATCACCAACGGAAAACAGTATCTACACTTCCACAGATGCAATTTATAAAATTTATACATTAAGCAGAGGTATTTAGTTAATTTAGAAAGATTTTATCTTCCACCACACATTCAATAAAGGTATCTTTTGTTAGCTATTCTGGATAATTTTAAGATTTCTATGCTGCAATTCTTGAAACAAGCTGTGCAGGAGCATACTATTATTTAGAAGAGCCACAAAAGCTTTTTCCAAAGGACCCCAGAAGCACAGGTAGCTGAGAAAATAAATTATACTTACTTGTGTCATGTTCCTTCCAACCTGAAGCATAACAAATTAAAAGTACAGTTCTGTTACAACTGGTCAGTATCATTTACCCAGCTTCCTGCTGGAATAGGTAAAAATAAGAACCACACCTACCGAGTTTTGTGCCATTCTCTTCTGCAGTCTTTCGAGTGGGCGCTACATCATGCTTCACTTTCTGCTGAGACTGATCACCATATGAGTTGGTATGATCATCAACATACTCCTCTGAGAACACCATTTTTCGGAAGTCTGGATCGGAACTGAAGTCACCATAGTTGACTGCAGAATGTCCAGGCTTTTTGAAAATAACCTATGAGCAAATTCCAGAGAAATCACTAGTGAAGAAGATTTAAGAACTTTTTCATCCTTTACCACTTCAATTCTAATTTTTTATTTCCATTCCATGAGGAATCAACCAACATGATACTGCTTCTTCACAATCACCAATGTGGCCAACATTCTTTTTCTAAATTCAGGCCTAGTACTACATATCAAAATTCTGATAACATTTTTGGATTTTGTTCATGGCTATGAAAGGTTGTAAAAGTATAATAACAGCAAAATACAGGGAAAATAATTTATGTATTTCTCAAAGGCACTGCAAATATAAAGTCTCAAACACCAATTGTATAATTCTTCCCAGTTATCCAAATCATTACATGTTAGTCAGTATTAAATAAAATATTTAACCTATTTCTGCCATTTTTTTAATTTCTAAAATGTTAACTCCAATCTCCAGAACATAGCTGAAATTTGTTACGGAGGTGGGTTTTATAAGGCAGTTTTGTGAACAAGCTTTCACTCCAGCAAATGCATAACTGTATGCTACAAAGCTCTGACCAAAATGTCATGGGTAAATGAAGATAAAAATAATGGAAGTTTAGTGAAAACTAATTCACTCATACAACCAGCATCATCACTGCTTTCTACCTCATTTACTTCTGTAAGCACATTTTAATTTTTTAATCTCTTAACTATCATAATATTACAACATAAATTCCCTTTTACTTTTCTTGAACAGAGGAATGATATGAGTCTTGAACTGTTATTTTGGTATTTTCAAAGCTTTCCAATGTACATAAAACAAATTTGAAAATCTTAAAAGATATGGTACAAATATTTTATTTCAAAGACGCTGCAACAAATTACTAATGTAAAGCCTAAGAAAAAAATTAACCAGACTGCTGATGGTCAAGCAGACATTGCTGGGCAATTTAACGTTGAACATGTCTCTCTCCAATTTAATTACTGAAACTTTCCCTCACTCAGAAAAATGATCAGAATGTGACACTGTAACTTTAGAGGAAAAATCCTCTGCCCCAATCGGGGATCAAACCCTAGTCGTCCAGTCTGTAGCCAGTCACTATACTAATGATACAGCAATAGCTGTCTTAAAACAATGAGATACAATATTTTGTATTACACACAAGAGCAATATTTCAGCTTTTTACCTACTTCCAAGCACCAACTTCAGAAATATGACAGAACCATTTCATTTAGTACTTACCACAAGTTGTGCCATTACCTTCATGACAGTGTACATGAAGAAAACCACAATTCCAATCGTGTATATGGGCATGACAACACCCATGGTTCCGGTGCCCTTTGGAGCTGGAACCACATGTCCTGCTCCACCCATTGGTGGCCTCATCCCTGGTATGGGACCAGGCTGTAACAAAACTACAATTATCTGCTATGTATAAACATTTATGTTAAGTCCTGTGTTCAGTGCTCTGAAAACATAATAACTAGGGTTCAGATGTTCATGACCTAAAAAACTGAGAAATATGCATGCGAATATGCCCCGAAAAATAGCAGAATATGACCCAAAAAAGGCAAAATATGATCTAATTTGTTATGAAAAAATATTTGCTAAAATTTAACAAAGCGTCTCGTATTTCAATCATGTTATTTATTTACATATGCATGTACAACTATTACATTACTTGATTTCCCAGCAATTTTAATCAAAAACCTCAGTCGCTTTAAGTTGTAAATGCCTCGTTTTGGATCAGCATCAGATGTTGAGTATACATGCTCCTACAAAATAAGATAAATTTTAAGAAAGAGCCTTTCATGCATTTCAAATTCATTAATCGCAAATAAATAAATAAACAAAATTCAAAATATTAAGTACCTTTCTTCATTCTCTTTCTTGGCAGCATTACAATATATAACGATTCGCATTTTCAAGGTCTCAAATGAAAATCTTCTTAGATTGTCGCACAATATGGTCTTATAACTTGAGACACCACAAACGTTTCTTGGCGTTATCGAAAATTACAGCGATAGAGGGGCAGTTTACTGTATCAAGAAGGAATAAGTCACCAGGGTGATCAGCAAAGAGCATGCCAATAATGACATTCGCTACATATCTGACGCAGACATCCGTTGTGTCATCAACCAAAACCCAAATCTTATTCTTGCCCACAGTACATGTAATTATTTTCAGAACATCTTCATAACAGGCAGGTACACAGTTTTTTCTTAGTGTTGATTTGTCTGGAATTAACTGAGTCATGTATTTCTCCAAGAAAATTTTTAACTGCTCATTGTTCACTTTGTTCAGTTGGCAGATGCCATCATTTCACATAGGGATTCATTGTGTCTGAGAAATGTAGTTACAAGTGAAAGTTTATATCCAAAATATAACCAAAATATGCATTTTGTCCTCAAAACATAACCAAAATATGCATTTTAACCTGAAAACATAACCAAAATATTCATTTAACTACAAATATGACCAAACACATAAAAATGACCTAAATATGCATTTATATGCAAAACAAAAACAGCATAATTGTGATTCTTCTTCTTCTTCTTCTAATTGTGATTAGGATAACCTAATTAGTGTTTAATTTCAGTTTAGAATGATAATAGAAGCCCCAATAAAAATATGACATGTCATGAACATCCGAACCCTAATAATAACGCTTCTAGGCGCTGGGCTGAATCAACACAGCCCATTTCCTACATCTTCAGGATTTGTATGTCATTGTTGGCAGTCATGTTCACATCAAAACATTTTGGGGGAGAGAGATCTGTGCTTGATCACTGTTATACGTCAGATGGAATGCGACTAAATCCCAACTCAGACACAGCAGAAGCTGACTGTCCAGATTAAAGGATGTTGATGAAATGGGAAACATAACAAAGTCTGTACTCAAATTACAGTTTGATGAATCACTTGGCCAGGTAACACATTACAGACAATTCTGCAAAATAGAAACAACAAAAATGGTTATTAAGACCATGCATGACAACTTGTGGACACCGAATGTCTATACTAGTGTAAATGCACAAAGCCGATCATTATTGATTTGTAACTTTGTGATCTCTCTACTAAAATTGAAAATAGAAATCATCTGCATTTTCCAGGATTTCTTGATTTTAACAGCTTGCTGTCCACATTTGTGGAAATTTCACAAAAGCAGATCACAATGTTAAATCATTATTAATTTTAAAGTTTCTCTGACCTCCCTATTCTGACAAAAGAAAATATGCACAATTTGATTTTCTATCTTTTCAGGAATAAAAAGACTAAAAGTAAACTCCTACAAATATTATACATTACTACAATTTACGGAAGCTAAATTGGGTCTATTCATCCATAAAGCTGTTCAAATCTACAAAAACTCGGCAGGTTTTCACCAGTCTGTTTATCTGGCTCAGGGCCAACATGGATGTGAGCCAGTCCAAGAATAAACATCACATACAATCATCCCCTTTATAATAACCCCCATAATCCCAGATTTCACGTAAACTACTTTAAACCTATTAGGCTGAGTGCACTATGCCAAGGGACAAGGGAAACACATATAAACTGCTACTTTAAAGAGTTTCACGGAAAATGGTCAGTCAGCCTAAGCAGAGGGAATTTCATACCTTTATAGCTATCAGAATCTGGTAACATGGCCACAAAATTGAATATCAGAAATCCATTTGTAGGTATAAACAAAAGGACAAACTTATAAACAGCCAAAAACATCCAGCTTAAATAACAAACTGATTAAAAATTAATGATGAATCAACTTAAGATTGTTCCTGATTATGTAAATAAAAATGCACCAGCTTAGCTTGAAAATTCATTATACTACTCTTTACCTTGTTTGAAGAGTGATGTGGGGTAAAATAATTTCAAAAATGCAATTTTCCTATCCATACTCACTGGTAGCATTGTTCAATTGTTATGGGGGGCGGGGGATTTCTCTGGAAGGAGCAGTACAAAATTTTAGTGACTAGCTCTGGCCACGTACCTAGTTGGGCATGCCACCCATGGTCCATGACAAAGACTGAACCAGCCTCCAGAGACATTTTACTTCATTTCCATAGGGACAATCCCCACAGAAAATACTTGCATGACTGCACTTAAATTTGTGGTGGAAGACCCAGTTGCTCAGGAAATTTTAATTCAATACAAGGGTGCACAGTATGCAAGACTCAAGGAATACGTTTCACTGCTTTCGATGGCATATTATATTTATTTGAACAATTTAAATGATTACTTTGATGGTTTCTTAATGAGATTTGTGGGAAGTATGTCCAAATTTTAAATGGGAAGATAATATTAAAATATTTATCGGCCTTGTGGCCAGCTTTTGTGAACAGGATAATAAACCTTTGTGTTCTATATAAGACAGGAAATTTCTGGACCAGATGAGTGACTATCTGCTTCTCTAGAATTAGTCTGCTCCATGCAGTGTATTACCACCACTTCTGATACTTGCATTCTCTACTGCATGTGGTATACTCATGCATAAGTAAGAAACACTAATATCACTCCAATAACTTCACTAGATGACAGCACTCAATGTCTTACCCGCCCTTCTTTCTCTACAACTCTTGGTATGATGTGTGACTGAGGAATGGCCCGACCTCTCTCTCGTAATGCTGGATGCAACATATCTGGATGTAGGTGAGGTGGTCTTTCTTGACGGTGATGTCCTGCAGAAATGAGGAAAAATGCTAAGAAAGTTAACATTAAACAATTAAGATTTAACTTATATATTTAGACTTAAAACATTGACAGCAAAAGATGAAAAACTATGACAAAATTATATTAACATATGGCAGCTAGTAGAATATGGTAACGTCCTGTTGCAACACAGTGAAGACCATGGCACTGAGGGGTCAGATACAAGTCTATAAGATAGTAAAGGTTATCAAAAGGAAAAACTAAAACCACATACCACCACTGTACGTTTTCAGAAAATCTACTCTGGCAAAGAGCAGAGTAATTATATCTCCACAACACTTTACTAACATATTTTTGTTATAAACTTTAGAATGAGATTTAATATTAAGCCACCAGAAATACAACTATAATGTTTAGTACACACACCAAATTACACCACACATTAAACCACTTCAACAGCACTTTTACCAATAACACAAATTACACAAAAGGATTTCATGTCACTTCCCCAGCATCACTCCAATGCATCCTATTACCCACTATGGCCAAATTATCATGTGACTTGTTTGTACAATCAATAGATAACTATTAACAGTTTACAATGTCAGTAAACAATCTCTGACTGTTTATAGTGTCAGTAAATAACCAATGGCACATCACCTTGCAGCTGTCCATAACATCAGTAAATTACCTGAGCATATAAAACCCTCAACTTCACACAGTTATGAATACAAATCCATTACTGTTAGTGCCATGCCCACAGAACAAACCCTGAAGTCAGATTAGATTAGATTAGTACAAAGCTAACACAATCATCTTACTTGGCATATGAATAGCCCCAACTCTCATCCTGTGAGGAGCACCTAGCAACCCGGGGGCAATCCCAAAGTTCAATTTGAGGCACACGGAACTGTTAAAAGAACGTATTTCATCCAGAATCTGCTTGTATGTTTTCCCTAGGCGAACGTTTTCATGTAAAAATGTGGTGATGTCAACACCACATTTATTGAGAACTTCATTTCTACATGTTTCAGATCCTGCTTTAGTGAGTTTACCCTGCTTAAAGGCCTGGATCAGCTTGGGATCTATCTCATCATAATGTTGCAAGATATTACCACACATCTCTGTCATAATCATTATCGCATTTACGTCTGTTTCGAAGATAACATCACAGCATGCTGATACTGAAAGAGATCAAACCACATGGTACATAATCCTAAAAAGCATAACACTGATCTTGAAATACAAAACACATCTAACTAAAATTTATTAGAATTATTGTTCAGTAGCTACTTGTCTCCACAGAACTGCATCCGTCAGTCGCCCTGGAAATTTTTCCTAGGAACAGAAAACTTTACAGATACCAAAAGGCTATTTTCACTGTCCATACAAGATTCGGAAAAATTTTCTTGATGTACACAGTCCATATCATATAAAGCAATCAAATCTTCATTCAGGGCAGATCAGATTTTGATGTTCTTCCTCTCCATTCATCAAGTGAGATTATAAAACAAATGAAAATAATTTATGGCATCCTGCCACTACATTCAGTCATTTGGAACGAAAATATGGTCAAAACACACACTTGAATCTACCAAAATTATTTCTAATTTCCTGATAATACGCCTCTAACAGTGATGTAAGGTAACGTTTATACCTTTCAGACGATGTCTGTTGAATGATTGCTCAATGCTCAAAATCCCATTTTTGTTCAATTTGTATATTTAAAAATAGATCTGACCCACTCATCAGCCTCACCTTGTGAATTATCTATATGATTTCGTGCACTGACTGAAGCCTGTAGCATAGGATAAAATAATTTCGGCCACAAAACTGCAAAACATCCAACTACAATCGCCAAAATAAAAATAGTCTTTCCTGTCCCAAACTCAATAGCCATTTTTGCAATTTCCTGTCGTCAACGACGTCGTCAATATGATGGTTTACAAATTATACCACCTGAGGACAGGTCGTATGTGCAAACCGCGTTCATAACATCAGAAACGTCATCGCTGTTATTTACAGTAACCATGTTGCTCATCTAGCTCGTAATGTCTGAATTCTATACATGGAATTTATTTTAAAAGCCAGTTCATTGCGAATTTATAAACATATTTACTAAAGTATGTATAAAATTTGACAAAAATTGAATTATGATAGAAAATTGAGATTTAATTTTATATTTCCCACAGAAGTTGTCTTCGAGTTAGCATCCCAATTCTTGGTTAAAATTATTGAAAATTGGGTAGGCCATGTCTTAGTTCTCACGCTTTAAAAAAGTTACACACAGTTCAATCTCTCAAGTCAGTTCGATCTCTCGAAACAAATAATTCGTATATTGAAACATTTGAGGTTATGTACTAAAATACTTAAGAAAATGTTATTAACATTTAATTATAATTGGTTCATAGGAAGTTTTTTTATTGCAATTGTAACTGCTAGTTCACAGAATTCTGGAAGAGGTAAAATCAGCAGTACTATTGGTTTACCTAAATGTGAATGACAGAGGAAGGCAGAAAACCTACCGAAAGCAGTAGGATAGTGGAGCCCTGCTGATATTTATAACGGAATTCCCCTTAATACGACGCATGAAATAGGAAGTTCGCCATCGTACCATTCTTCCAAGGTCATACAATCCAACCCAGCCCTTCCTATTCTCACCTTACTGATAGAATATTTGGAGAAATCTCATCGAATGAACCAAATTTCAGTATGAAGAATTAGAATTTATTTGAATTTTAGTGTCAACGCATTCTACATTTTAAAGCTTACAAACTGTTATCCTAATTAAATTGTAATATACAATGCAAGTGGTACAAAGACATAAAATGCTGTGCACTTGAAACAGTTTGCATCTTTATACACTTAATTTCCATGCATGTGGATATGAGTGTCTAAAAGGGTTAGCTAATTCATGATTTTTTTATTGGTGTGATGGTAGTATAGAAGCTGTTTGGTATTTTCTAACAGGAAAACGAATTTTATTACTTCATTTTCTTTTCATATTATTTCAACTGTGGTGCTTTCTTCCCTTTCATCTTTTTAAATTGCTAACCTGCATGGTCTGTTCTGCATATATTATGAAGCAATACTTTGTGATAAATATTTGATACATCATCTGTTTTAACAGGTTTTGGGGAACAGTACAATTGGTTCAGTTTAAAGGAAGGTTTGGAAAGAGCAAGGAATAACAACAAACCTCTGATGCTGATTATTCACAAGACATGGTGTGGAGCTTGTAAAGGTACTTTAAAGTTTACAAAGAAGTTCTTGCTGAACATTAAGTTTATTGCAAAATGAGAGACTCAAAAATATCTGAGTTTAAGAGAAACCTCTTGGTATTATTGAATTTCTGGTTTTTGTCTACTATTATTGATAGATTTCAATGTCCAGGGAATCAGTAATGTTAAATGTAGCATACCACTGTCTGAATCCTTCATAAATTAGAATGTTCATCACCTTGATATAGATGGAAAAAGAATGGAAGGAATTTCTTAAGCATATTATTAATTCATCTGCTTCAGAATGTCCTAACCATGTGAGAGTATTGTTATAAAAACAGATAAGCAGTGTCATGGACCAGTGACATACTATGTAAAATCTTTGTAAAGGTATGGAAAAATGCTTATTTCATAAAGAAACAAATTGATTTGATAACTGAAGTACTGAAAAATACTGTAGGTGAAGACATAAAGTTCACTATCAGAAATATATTAATTATTAGACTGTCATGGTGGGGAAAATAGAGTATGAGAGTTGTGTGTGAAATATGATAAGCATTTCCCCCTCTTGTAAGTAATCTGACAGCAGACTAGCAGCACCATCCCTCACTTTAATATTAGTTTACCAACATCTGTGTACCAGAAATTTATCTGTAAATTTTACAGCTGGAACTGTACTGTAGGGAGGCCAAGGCCCTACAAAAGGGCTGTAGTACCACAGAGTAGTAGTAGTAGTAGAACTGTAGTGTGGTACAGTGATGTACGAACATTTTCAATAAAATCAATCCCATATTTTAAGAATGCATGTCTTGACTACAATGCCCACTATAATAAAACTAAAAGTAGTTGTAACTAATCATGATGTCCGTTGTCTTCAGCCTTGAAGTCCCAGTTTTCAGCTTCAAAGGAGATAGAAGTCTTGAGCTCTCATTTTGTGATGGTGAATGCAGAAGATGATGAGGAACCAAAGGATGAACAGTATTTTCCAGATGGGGGATATGTTCCAAGGATCCTCTTTGTTGGTAAGCAAGTTAGTACAGAATATAGTTGATCTAGTTTTGTTGTGTTATAATCTGTTTAACCTTCATGATCTCTACCTGTCTTGAAAATAGTGAATGCAATTTCTGTGGACTGTGCAACCTACAATGGTAGGATGGCTACCAGAGGGAAGCTACAATTTAACCTGGACTCAGGAACGAACCTTGTGTGGTAAAATTTTACATGAGGGAGAGGAAAGGCATGAACTGAACCTGAATGCTATTCACCCAAGACATTTGACACAAATGCCCCATTCCTTATCTCTGTACCACCAGGACCTTTCATTGCAATTATATAAATTTTTTACAAGTATTTTTTTCTTTGGTCTTTAACATCCCTTAAAGTTTTATAAATTACAGGTTAATGCAAGGAATGGTGCATGTATTTTTTTGTGTCCTGAGCAATATGAATTCTTAGAACTGTGCCAAAATAATTCCTTTAAAGGAACTAAATTTCTAACATCAAACATTTGGACTAGATCATGCAGAAAACATGGTGGATCTCACACCACAGTGAACATACTGATTAGAAATTAGTGGACCTCTTATGAAGGCTGAACATTATGTTGAAAACTTTCCACTAATCTAGCAAGATCATGAGGTCAACTGACAGACAGACACACACACAAAGAAAGTATTGATCTTGAACTAATAGTTAAATCTCCAAGTACCTCTTCCATGTAGTGTGTTCTTGTCCTAATCCCCAAATATTATTTGCAATTTATTAAATATTTGTGTTCCTTAGAACCTGCTGGAAAAGTAAGAACAGAGTTCTTTAATGAGGATGGCAACCTATCATACAAGTACTTCTACTCAAATGCTGAGAGTGTGGCTACAACCATGAAAAGGGTGAAGCACTCTATCAAATCTGGTAGCAGAATTACAGAAGAACTCTGAATGCTTACAAATGTTTTTGTACTCATTTGGGTTTGGAAAGTACATGTTCTGACATTTCACTTGATTTTGGTGTCACACATATTATGACTGAGTTGTTTGTTATGAAGGATTATATTCTTCTACTTCTTTTAACAAATATTGTCAGCTGAATTGCTGCTATTTAGACCAATAAATAAACAGTTCAGTTTTTAATACATGGTTTCTTCTTTACGCATTGTATTAGGGAAAACTCAGGCAGAGAGTATATAAAAAATTAATTTTAAAAAGCAATACAGAATTAGCAAATTGAAAATGTCTCAAGGAAACTGAATCCAGAATAGGTGTCTTGCCTTTAATGTTCTTTCATTTAACATTGTGCTGTGAAGATGAATGTATAACTGCCTTATGGTGAAAAGTATTATTTCTTAAATTTAATAAATTAGATACATAAATTACTCAGAAAGCCCAGAAGTCATTAGACTGTTAAAAGAGACACATCAGCTGTAAGTCTGTGCTGGCAATATTAATTTATTGGACAAAACATAATAACATAAAGAAAAATACAGAACCTGTATTTCACAGTAGTAAAGAAGTTTTTCTAGGCTTAAAAACAGAGATAACGAGATATGTCCATGTCTCATCACCAGAATGGAGGGCAGAATCGTAATCTAAAGATAACTTAAAAAATCTTTTGAAAGTGTAGCAAAGTTAAGATATTTCAGAATGACCACAGCAAATCAAAACTGCATTCATCAAGATGTTAAGAGCAGATTAAATTCAAGGAATGACTGCTACAAGTTGAGGAGAATGAGATGGGCAGAATACGTAGCACACATGAAAATAAGAAATTAACACAACATTCTGTTTGGAAAACATTAAGGAAAGAGATCACCTAGGAGACCTTTTTACCAAGTACCACATAAATGTCAGTAGTGCTACAGAAAGCTGGCATATTAGGAATCACAATAAACAGTGTGAATAACTTGAACATAAAGAATGGAAAAGAAAATTTATCAAAAAAATTGCTTCACTTTCTTGCGCATTATGATGACTGGGAGAGCAGCAGGTTACTCATCATAAAGCAGAGTGCTCTCAAACACCGTTGCACACAACACAAACTGCAGCAAGTGACCGGGCACTGAGCTGTTGTACCAGAGTTTGCTGAATCATTTGCATGAAATATGAATACAGAGAGGTGACCAAAATCAGGTTACACTGAATCATGAAGAAGGAAGGAAGAAAGGATGGCAGATGCAGTTCATTCCATAACCAAGGAAAGTTATGTAACACTTTACATCACAATACACAAATTTAATAAAGTCCAATCTTCTTTGACCTTTATTCACAATGTTTATTTTTATGTTGCTGCATAAAATAACATGCAGAATACATCTTGGAAAAATTAAATGATTACAAACAACCATCATATTTAAAATTTTACTGAAATATCAACAAACATATGGTACATCTGATCTCACAAGTCTTGTTATTGTATGGATCTAATCACATAGAACTGCAGTCTCACATGTCAGACTGAGAAGCATGCTGATTGGAAGTAGGGGGCAGTACACTATGACATTAGACCGTGACCAAGGATAAAGCAAATAATGTCTTTCTGTGAATTATCGCTTGGCAGTGAGTAAATCTGGATGATCTATGTTGAGTTGGTAAGTGTGTACAACAGGATGGAAGCCAGGTAACAGAATGTCAAGATGTGTTCACGCCTACTGAAGTGATGATTCATGTGACTGTACTGTTGTAATGCCTAGTGAGGCACACTGATATTGATTCGGTTAAAAGTCCTGAGAATGTTCGTCACCTGCTGTACTCCATGGAGTTCCTTTCTTTTCTTTTTTATTTTAACAAACTGCCTGTAAATTATTCATCTTCATTCTGTAATGAAGTTTTCTATTTCAAACGTTTATATGGAATGGTTATTAGCAGTTTTTATCAAATTACACAAAAATAGTGTGATAGAAACTCATTTGACGTAATGGTCAATGAGAGAATAAGTCACAGACAGATGTAACAGCACTCACCTCCTCTCTGCAAGGCACTGCAGTCCACGGCTAGACGTCAATTTGGAAGGAAGTTTCCCTGCTAAGCCTTGTGGGGGCTCCACTACGCCCAGACTTGCGTCCCAACTTGCTCATGTCACACTCTGCTTCACTTAATTCGTGAGAATGTGAGTCAGAGAATCGTGAAGGTGGGTGAATACGATCACTGAAACTTCAGATAGAAAAGCTACTTGGAAACATAGTGATAAAAGTTCAGTGAATGAATGAGACATACAAGAACTGGGACTTAGAAGTTCCTGGCAGATGTAAATAGATGGGTAGACAAGGTACCTACATTATAAGATGATTGACTCTTAGGTTACTTAATGAAAAAGGAGGCTGAGTGTATTCATGAAGAAAACTATAGAAGATTCCAGCCATAAGAACAAAACACTCAGGTTCAGTCCTTTGGAACATGTCACTTGCATCTTCTGTTAACCTATCCTTACATGTGTGGCTCTTTCACACAGATTAGCTGAGTGGACACAGAATAAAGTTCTGATATTTGAACACTGTGTTTCCATCATCAGGGACTGATGTGGAGAGTGACACAAGTGAACCAAAGAACCTAAGATGGAATAAAGTGATTACATATCATTCAGTTTGTGATGACAGACAGTCAATTTTAGTCTGTATTGACTGAGAACATTGCATTGCATGCAGATAGTTGCAACTTACACAATTTAAAAAGAAGACTGAAAAGGTAAACTTTGCAGAGTGCACACAAATTCTAAAGGCAAACTTTGCACCAATGTTTCTAAACTGGGGGTCTGTACCTGAGCAGTCCCAAGTTTAGTAGACTGTATTCTTATTTTTGCTACACTGTATTGCTGTAAGCTTTAAGCTCTTTTCATTACATTTTACTTCCACAGTGGAGTAAAAACAAGACAAATTATACCTGCTGTCTATATTGCAGTTAATCTGAATTCTATTTAATGAAAATGTATGATATTTGGGGAAGGAGGCCTGCAGTACCAAAAGTTAAGTGTAAAAGTTTGTTAACATATCCTTGCACATTGTTCATGACAGATTTTTCTTTTTGTGAATCATGAAAGTAGGTCCTGTTTGGACCTGTATGGACTGTGGAAACTTCCCATACTAGTTGCTATACAGAATGTTCGGTACAACAGGAGGAGCCTACCTGAATGTGGTTTCTTCAGTGTGGCTGGAATATCCACTACTACTTCGTACTTGTCGCTTTCCCATCATCTGTCCTTTGTTCTTGGACTTCCTGGATGGGAAGGGTTTCCTTGCATCTGACGGGGAAGTTTCAGAAGATGAGCTTGATTCCTCCACCCCTGACTTGCCCACCTCTGCAAGTTTCACAGTTCCCATTATTGTTTAAGTCTTCTATTGCCCAAGCGCCTACATGGCGTATAGTGGGACAGCTTTACTTTTACTTTACTTTTACTTCATGTGATCATCTTCATACTACCTTTATCCAATAAAAGAAAATACCATTAATGCTGCATCAATGGACTGTTCACTACAATCTGCCAACACCAGACTAGTGAAATATCTGACCTATGGAGCCACATTTAAAATTTAATTGTGTGAGACACTTGAACAGAAGTAAAGATAGGTAAGGTGAGTGAAACTGAAGTCAATGTTTTCATCATCTGATACATTTGGTGAGGGACATTTTTCTTTTTGATGAACTCAGTACAAGAAGACAGCCATCTTCAGACTCACAGCTGTGAAAACCTCAAATCCTACTGAACTGAGTACAGCATTATTAACCACTTCATATGCATGACATAAAACACCAAACCTAATGTTAGAGCATTCTGAAGAACTCACAGCACTTAACCAATAGATACATGCTGCTCAAGTTTCACTTAGTAGTGTCACTTCCAACAAACCATTAATATTTAGGTCCATCAGAATAAAACGTACGAGGTGCGATCGAAAGGTTTCAAGACTGCGCGTATAAAAACCCGTACACTTATCTCAGGTATTAAATTCATCCATCACCCTCGAAGTAGTTCCCCTGGGAGTGAACACAACGATCCCAGCGCCGCTGCCAAGCCTGGAAGCATCCCTGGAAATCTTTCTTTGTCAGCCTGTCAAGCACCATCTGCGATTCTGCCTGAATCTCTTCTATCGTCTCAAATCTCCTTCCCTTTAGCTGAATTTTCATCTTTGGGAAGAGGAAGAAGTCACATGGAGCTTAGAAAGCAAGTTAGTCGTTGATGGTACGACGTCGATCTTCGTAACATTTTCGGGCGTTGTGCTCGGAGATGGTCGTCCAGAACGCTCGTCATCATCGACAGCGGTTCGGCCATTTTTAAAACGTGAATGCCCCACAAAAGTTTGTGCACGACCCATTGCGGACTCCCCAAATGCTTGCTTTAGCATTTCATAGGTTTCCGTAGCCGTTTTGGCGAGTCTTTGGCAAAATTTGATGCACACGCCATTCCGAAATCGCAGGAGGGTTGGTGTAATGCACTACCAAAATGCCCGTAACTAAGAAACAAATGCTAATTCAATGATGCCGGCTGATTCACTATGAATGTAGGCCGCACCCCCTAGTGGCAGAAGCTCGTACTACATCCGGTTCGCCCTCTATTGATACAGTCTTGAAACTTTCCGATCGCACCTCGTACTGTATGGAATGAGCCTTAGGGAAATGCGATAAAGCAGATTAGAGGTCTGGGCATGTAGCATAGACTGGAAAATAGGATATGCATCCAAAATATCATTGGGAAACCACTTGGAAGACAGTAAATTATGTGGGAAAAATTTATTTAAATAGAGACAAGTAAAATAGGTGGTGAGGAAATGAATCTGATGGAATTGGTTCAGGTCATGCTAACATATTTTATTACCGTACTCACCTCGGGCCATCCTGTGCCTGAAAGAGACAAGCTCCTGGCTAGCAGCCACTTGTCCCCCTGGGATTTCTCCCTCAGAGTCACTGCCCAGTGTATCGTACTCTGAAATAGGCAGGTGCAGAGTTAAAATCTTCTTAACTTCTGAATCAGTGCTCCCCAGGTTGTCCGACTCTGAAACAACGTGGGTCGGAATGAGGTTGTGCCCCACCCACCTCTCCCTCAAATTCAAAGATAGGAGACTGATAGGTACTAACAAACTGATGTCAGAAAATTTGGAAGACTGCCTACAGCGCTTGGCACAATGAGATAATGCACCCAGACTTTAGGCAGAATTTTACAGGAGAAAATGTACATCGTATACTCCATCAATACCAAACTTTTACACATACAGACAAAAGAAGGTTAGAAAAGTTGGATTTAACCTCATATATCCATTCTAAATGTTAAAATGTGCTATAAGGAGCCATACTATAATTTAATGTTAACAGACTGCATAGGAGCCTGACCCTGCTGTTTGTTTTGCTTTTTTAAAATAGTTACTTCAGAAGTATTGAGCACTTCAACTTTTAGGCAATTTTGGGATCTTCAAGACCAAGAAACATCCGAGAAAGGAGGTGGCAAAAACCCACAACTGGGTTGTACAGCCAAGAAAAAACAACAACTGATGTAAATAAATAGATTTATGAAGATATCAACTGGCTCAGAAGAGGATACAACGTGGAATTTTGTAAACATTCTTATGTCCATCTCCTATTTTCAGGTAAAGATTAAATTATATGGAAGTAAAGTGACATATGAGAAATGTAAACAAAATTATGGCCAGAAAACCGTAAGAATTATATCTGTAGCTTATAGCATAATCTTAAGGAAACAGGGTATAAGTTTGCAGGCTGGATTCATTTGGCTAAATAACATGATAATAAAGAACCTTCTGGTTCCAAGAAAGCCAGGCAGTTTCTTGACTGACAGAGCTAGCTTCACAGAAGGAATCTGTCCCATGTAGTCAATCAGATGAATCTCCTTAGAAAAATGAAAATGAATTTCAGAATTTGTTTTCTGTGAGATATAAACTAAAAGAACTTTTACTGTGTATAAGAGACATTACATTCTTATCACATGAAAGACACTGACCCATAACATTAATTTGGTGACATTAAAATTAGGGTCAGAGGAGCATACAGGTTAGTTACCCTAACATTACCAGGATTTTAAATATTTCTCATGCCTGTGTACCATTTTGTAACAAATGACAGCTAAATAATAGTACCTTGGCTTTCAGAGTGGGGATCCCTCAGTTTTCCTCCTTTTCTTCTGACTTTTGTGTACTCTGGTTCCTTCTGCTGAAAAACATCAACATGTGTTAACACCATGCATGCAGATATTGATGTCCAACAACAGCAAAAAATTAACTCCAGTGAACAATTTACTGCCACTTATCTTCCAAGTAGATGCTCTCCAAGATGTTTTCCCATCAGAACTGTGTGTGTGTTTGTTTTGTTTTCTGAAGTATACAACCAGTTTATTGCAGCTTCCTAGGTTTCAATACCCTAGCAATATGAAGTATTAGTCTGTGCTGTAATACTGTCCATTCCATACATACTGGATCCACCTTTGCACAGCACTGAAAGCTGTTTATTTTCTTACATGCAACAGAAACCAAACCATCAGTGTAATGGTTCTGCTTGATTTTCATGTATTTTGCAGTTGCTTAGTCTTACTATAAAACCTCCATGGCAGGACTCCACCAAATTTGGGAGCCTGTGATGTTAGGTAGGATATGAAACAAATGTCCATGGCTCAGTTGTGGTCTTAACTATTATCCCTAGAGTTTCTTAGCACAATACTCCAGTAACCATGTAAAAGCATAGCCATTACTTACATGTCTAAACTTGTAGTTCTCTGCTCCAGCTGGTTTGGGGTCATGATAGACAAAGGAGCCCCTCACAGAATGATACGGTCCACTATACACATTGCCACTGTATGTGCTCTCACTGTATGGGGGCTTGGATAGCTGAAATGTGGCATAGGGACAGATGTCCTCGATGTAGTCTGCAACACAAGTATTTGTCACATAAAGCATCCAGGAAATAGTGCTCTGTTCCAGCTGGAGATCCATTTGGCCCAATCATCATGGGCATGACAATTAGTTACTAACTTGTGGAATTCTGGTGAAATTTTTTATCTGTGCCTCCAGAATTGAAGATATAACTGCAGAACAATACTATGCCAGCAGAATTTTCAGATCAACTTCTGGCTGGCTGGCTGGGCATATCACACATTAGGAGATAAAGAACATATGTGGAATAATGTTTGACAGGGAAATAAGGAAAGTATTCAAATTAAAACCTGTCCTAGTGATGGGTCAAACAGAAGAAATTTCACTGGTCTGGCACAGCCACAGATCAAAGTAATGATCAGAAATCACATCTTAACATGTGAAGAGCCAACAATTACATGGTACTAAGGATGTGAGTAGGAAGACAGACAAAGACATTCCAAGACATCCTCATCACATGGCTTAATTATAACCTGCCAAATCAGTAATATAACCGTTCCACCTTCTCGAACTGGTCTGCTCAGCTGCTCAGGGTGTTTGTCTCAAAAGTTGCTGGATGGGTGTTGATCAAAGATAAACCACAGAGGTCGATGTTCAGTTCCTGGAGGGTCTATGATAGTATTTTGTCTAACTCCTGATTTCAAACATCTGTCTCCTCCAAAAGTTCCTTCTGCATAAAGCAGTGCTTCTGATATAAATCTAAATCCAAAGTTCTGATCGGCTGAGGTATCAGTGAACTCGAGATCATGAAGCTTAGCTCCCCGACATGTTCCCACACAGTTCAATGAACATGACCTTCCAGAATTAATTCAAGTACAGAAACCCTTTGAAAGAAATTAACAACTGGGACTTGGGAAACTACCAAATCTTATAAGTCATAAATGGCTAACTACCAGAAGCCATAAATCAATAACAATAAAAGCTATAAATCTGAAACTCCCAAAATCTTGCAAGTCATAAATGACAAATTAATAGGAGCCATAAATAACCAACAATACCAGTGGTGTAACCATAAGGTAAGCATGGTTTGCCCTGTTTCAATATACACACTTCAAAAGAGCAGCAACTATATGTAAAGGGCATTATTGCAGGCATTTGCTACTGGAAGAATTTTGTCATTCTTCATTTGACATAGGAGAAACTGCTTGAGTTGTGTTGGCAGTTTGTCTCATTGACATTCACTCTTTCTCCAGCTGAATAACAGATGTGGTTCAGCTGTGAGGCTTTTGCATTTATCATACAGCAGGTAGTAGTCATACAGTGATGACTTCTGAATTTACAGACACTGCACAAATTTATATGTTTCTTTCTTTCTTTCTTTCTTTCTTACTACAGGCTATTTTTGTGGCAGAAATGAGCACTAAAACTGGTAATGTAGGTATGAACATGCATATTCATACAGCATGGATTTAATTTGCTTATAGATTAATGAGAAATAAATGAAGACTCAAGCCACAAAATTGTGTGCTTAGGGTGCCAAAGGCTATTAAATAAAAAAACAATTTTATTGATTCTATTTTCAACCTTCTACTTAATTTATCCTTTCGTTATAAAGGTGTGACAAATCTGTATTACCTGCAGAGTCAGTTTTGCAGCTGGCTGAGTCAAGGTTGAGAGCCTGTTGTCCACTGCCAACCCTCACTGCCAGATACTGCTGGTCCCTGTTCTGTTGGTTCTGCATTTGGGCCACTGATGGGGACTCCCCCATGTGAGCATCCTGGTTCTGTAACTCTGTGCACATACAACACCACTCTTTCAACATGTCTATATTGACACTGTGACATGCTGGCATGTTTCCAGATATGTTGACTACATTACTTCTAAGAAAAATGACTGTTAATCAACTACATGCTAAAGGTTTTCACCTGAATAGCTGACAGTTATTCACCTGGTTAAGAAATTTTCTGTTGTTATAAATCATGAAGGTACCCACGATCACAGAAGCCCACCACAGGACTGTGGAGTGAGCCAGTTCAATCCAGTTCACAATAAGTTTTCTCTCAGATCCACTTTTGTATCATCCTCTTAACCCCAGGTAGACACTTTCAAGAAATTTCCTCATCAAACTTCATGCATGCATGTCTACCACTGGAGTAAAGCCATGACTCCACTTTAGACCCCTATCTAATAATTATTACAATAAAATCCTTAGAGATTTAGTTACAACGGAAACTGATTAACTCCTTTCAGTAGGGTCCTCTTTGATAGTGATAGCAATTAATCTGTGTCAAAAAGCAGTACCTCCTATTAATAATATTAGCAATATAGTATGCAAAAAAGTCAATCACAACTGATGATTGGAAACAAAATACTGAAAGGCAGCTGCACATGACTAGTGAAAATTTACACAAATTGTATTTATGATTCCTTAACTACAAAGTACAGAACTGTGTATTGGCCAAGAAAAACAAGCATTCATACTTACTTTTCCTGTGTATGAAAACTGCAACTCCGAATAGCCCAAGCAGGAAACCCAGCGACACAAGGATTGGGATGATGACCTTGATGTTGGTATAGAAAGGCACTTCTCGTGAGTGCGAGACTGGTGGCGCAAGTTCAGGGATCACGGTGACTGCAACATGACAAGCTCAATTCAACAAACTTATGTGAAGAATAGTAACTGCTACCAAGGCTACATGGATTTCACCACTAACAAGCAGGTATGGGCCAGCGAGATAAAAAGACAACATCTGTAAGCATTGATTAACTAACTTCACAGTACACTGCCTTTTTGAGCAGCTGATGTTTACTCATGTGGTCAAGAAATTCCCCACTTTTATTAGCGCTGAAGGTTCACCATCCCATTCACAGAACTGCACCATTGGATCCTATCTTGAGTCCATTCAACCCAGTCCACACCCTCACAAATGATCTCTTCCCTTGATGTTTTCTGAACAAAATTTTGTAGGAATTTAGCCATGCATAACCCTGACAATGTTAGGTGAAGAGTACAAACTGATTTTATGTGAATGACAGACCAAATTTCACACAAATTTTGTGTCAAGCTGTGCAGTTGTATGAAGTCTAAAAATCCAAGAATCAGGTGACATAAGAGTACATACCTCCTTCAGCAGTGAGGGTTGAGAAGTTGTACAAAGCCACAGTGGAGCCTGCATTATTGTGTGCAGTGACTCGGAGGTGGTACTTTGTAGCAGGAGCAAGGTCAAGGATACTGTAAACTCTCTCTGTGGGCTGAACATTGTTGGATACAAGAGACCAGTCACTGGAACGATGTGCATCACGATACTCAATTATAAAGTACAGTATTGCACAACCACCATCACTCCAGGAGTCGAGCCAAATCGTAAGCACAGTTGAATTCACAGTGATCAGCTGTGACTGCTTTGGCTTCACTGGAACTGAAATTATGATTAAAATGGCTAGAAACTCTACAACTTGAAGCACTTCACACAATAAACTTATTTTGTCATTTCTGGTAATAAAAATAACGCAACAATGGGGCTTATAAACACAGTCTTCTGTCTTGACGGAATAACATGAATTACAAATACATTGAAATAAGCTACTAAGAAAAATTAAACCAATGAAAACAAACTAAATAAGCAAAATAATATATCATAAAATGCTGAACACTATGCTTTGTAATATTTTTCAAATATTGTTAGGTTCAATAAATTAAACAGATTCTTATGTATGGGAGAACCAATAATTTCACACAGAACTTTAGTGGAGAAACCTCTCATTTGCAAGATCAATATGCAGCTGGGAACATAATATTAAACTGGGCCTTAGGGATTTACTAATGTACACCCTTAACTGACAAGACTGCCATATCAATGGGCTGACCCACCTGTTCCCTTTGTGTATGCATTGACAATGTCACAAGGAAGCCCTGTTCCAATCTTGTTGAAGGCTGTGATATAAAGTTGGTAGCGAGTCCCACACCACAGGTTGTGCAATGTGTGTGAGTTGGCTTTAGCTTCAATCTGCATTTCTTCCCAGTCACCATGGTCTCTTTTGTAGTTGATTACATACCCTGAACAGACACATAAAAATGTTTAAGTTCCACATTGCCCAACCATCACATCATGAAGTGAGTACTGAGCTTCAGAAACTTATATTGTAGCATTACTGCTGTGTAGTACATTCAATAACTGACAATTGGTGTCTGCATGAACACGTATAAATGATTTATTTGGTATTCTAGATGATTCAACACTTAATTACATCATCA